CAGGTCGCCGACGCTGAGAGAGAGACTCTGTGCGACGTCGGCTCTCGTCCTGCTGGCGCAGGTCATCGGTGCTTTGGAGGGCCGCGAGGGTGAAAGGGCTGCCTCGGCGGCTGGGCTCGGGTGGAAAATGCCGCGCTCTCCCCCCACCCCCTGGTGAGGCTGGTGGGGCCGAAGCGGGGGTGGCCGTGTTTGCTCGTGCGCATGTTGGCCATCGTTGGCCGTCGAATCCCCCGGGTGCGGTTGCACCAGGGCGCGTCGTTCGCGCAATTGTTGATCTTCCAGGCTGGCCCCTCCCCCTCCATGTGATTTCGCATTGCCTGAAATATGGAACGGGGCTTTGTCCTCTCAACCTCGCTCTCTTGAGAAGGATCGGGGGGCGGCTCGCTGGTAAAAGCATGTTTGTTGCGGGCGGAGATTGGAACCTCGCCCCCAGTCTGGTGGATTGTACGGGTTAGGCGCGCAGGGTCGACGGAGCCCTCTCTGTGCCGACCCAGAAGACTTGTCTTCCCCCTGGACGCTTGAGTGCGATTGATTTCTTATTGGCTAGCACGGCCAATGCTCTCGCCTGTGATAAGGTTGACGCGGACACGTCCTGGGCCCGCCGCCCCCACCGACCCGTTCAGATTGCCCTGCGCCCCGGTGCTGTGCGGTGCCGTCAGCTGACGCATCGGTCGCATCAGAAGCCCCCGACGGAGGTCCCGTTTGGCCCCACCCCCAAATCTCAGGATTGGACGCTCTGTAGGATTATTGCTGAGGGCGCTGCCGCCTACGCCTTGTCGCGCCCCGTTGGCGAAGCCTGGGAAATGCTCGCGGCTGCTAAGAAATGTTTCGCCAGTCAGCTCGAGCTCGAGTTCAAGTCGTTCACTGGGGCGGAGGTCAGGAGGAAGGGGCGCAATGGGGATTTGCTCAAGCAGAAGTGGGCCCTTACTCTTGCTAAACCCAATGCTTTCAGTGCGCGCGAACAGCACTGCGGATGGATCTGGTTGGCCGAGCACCTGACAGAAACGGTCGGGGCCTCTGCGAGGCTCCGTTAGGCTTCCCAGGGCCCCGATGTTCTGGATCACAGCAAGATTCAGCAGCTCACCGACGATGCCAACCACCAGATCCAGCACTTGCTAGTTCCACCTTGCCCCGGTGACGGGCTGAGCGTTCGCCTCGACGCCGCCCGCGATCAGGCGCGTCGGCTTGCACGATCTTTCGTGGCTGGCGCAGGCCTCCACGAGCGGATCGAGCAGCGCCGGGAGTTTCTGTCATCGCGCGAAGATGACCTGAGCGAGGCGCGCAAGGGTTTTCGCTCACATCCAGCAGGACAGGTGGGACCAATGGCAGGAAAAAACTTTCTCGGGGGGTGGGGGGGCGGGGGGGCGGGCAGGGCCGTGCGTCGGCTCGCGAAGTTGGGGCAGAAGTGGACCCCCACGGTCGTTCAAAATCTTTCTGTCGTTGTCTCCAACTCGCCCCAATAACTTTTCAAAGCCAAAGGCGAGTGCTTGGCCGAGTTCCGGCATGCGTCGCACGCCCCCCCCCCCCCGAAGTTTGCGTTCCCGATCGATGTCGCCTGCCGCGTCCGACGGCGGACGAGACCAGGGGCGCTTAGCGCAGTTTCTCGCCTCTCATGTCGCAGTTGCTCGACGGGCTGCGCCCTGGACAGCTCTCGATTGTTTCTGACGAGGCTCTCGACACGTTCGGGGCAATGATCCAAGCGATTGGGTCCCTGGGTTTTTGTTCCGAAACAGCTTCTCTGGCTCCTCTTCCCGCTTCTCGAGAAAAACGCGAAAGGGGGATTACGTCCGATCCTCCTTTGCGCTGGGCCCGTTCGAGTTTGGGAGCGTTCGAGGAGACCAGTCATTGTTGATTTTGACACGAACTACCCTCGTAAGTATTGGGCCTTTGGTCTTGGGCGCAGTGCTGAACGCGCGGCGCGGCACCAGGCTGCGTGGGGCGAAGTTGCCCAGCAACATGACACGGACGCCCGAGGAGTTATTCGGGATGGGACCAAATACTACGAGTCGATTGATCTCCTTTTGTTGGAAGACAGAGCTTGGAGACACGGTATCAATGCGGCCATTGTCAAGACTACGTTCAACCGCTGGAGGGGCCCCCGCTTGCTTCGCCTTGGGGCCCACTATGGGGCCCTTCCCTACTTCGCTAAGACTGGGCTTCCTGCGGGGGGGATTTACAACGACATCATGGTTCGGGTTTATGGCATTGAAGCGTTTGATCGGTTTGTCGCTGATAGCCCGCAGGTCGTCCTTTCCTTCTACGTTGACGATGCTCGCGTCACCACGCCGGGCACATAACAAGAGGTTCTGGCCACCATCACTCAGGCTGCTGCTTCTCTGTGCATCCTGTTCAAGGATGAGCTGCACGTCGGTATTCAGCCCGACAAGGTCAGCACCTTCGCCAGCAGCTTGGCCTTTGCCAAGAAGATTTCTGACCTCCTAGGCGATCTCGCGGGGCATGCGACCAACGGCGCGGTCTCTCTGGGCACCGTTTTTGCCCCGATTCAGGTACGTTGTGCCAAGCGGGGGCGTTGGACAATGAAACAACGTTTTTCTCATGTAGAAACGGCATAAGGCTTTGATCCGTTACCGCCCCAGGCTCCCCAGGAAGAAGGCCTGGATGGGAGAACTCTATGTTGCTGGGTTTTTGCCAGCGGCCAGTCTTGGCTCTGCGGTGGTTGGGATGTCCGATTGCGAGCTCCAGGAGGCTCGCAGGGTTTTGCTCTCCAGCCATCCGCCGCGGCACCGTGGCTGCTCGCACCGGGCTCGCCTCGCGGTTTTGGGGGGCCCCGTCTGGCGACCCTCTGTTGCTCCAGCCTTTCAATGGGCTGGGATCGTTTGGATTTCCCTCGCCCCCCCCCCCCCCTCGATTTCCCAGTATATCATTATGGAAATCTTTCATATGTGGCGAGCTGTTAGTTATGTTGACACGGTCACCTGGCGCTTTTCTCGGGGACCTTTGCAGAGAATGCACCTGTCTTCAGCTCGAGTCGGGAGGCAGTCGCCCCCCCCCCCCCCTCACTTTTAATTGTGATTATGATCGCGAGGTGCATCTCGGAAACACTTCGCCTTCTACGATTGCGCACATGTTGCAAGTGGCTGCGCAGCGAAAGCATGAGCGAGTCCTGTGTCAAGACACCCCTGCGGCCAATGTTGTTCGGTTTTGTGTGGATCCCCTTGAAGAGGATCCCGGGTCCTAAGAGTCGCCACCTGACGCCCCATCAAACGGATATGTCGGCGAGTGTTTCTGCAAGGGTATCTGGACTCGTTCGCGTGCGCAGGGCGCTGGATATCCGTGCAACGGCCTGTGCCCTCTTTGCGAACTTCCTGATGGCGTGCGGCACCGCGTCTTGCAGTGTTTACACCCGGAAGCTGTCGCGGCCAGGAAGTTGGCCACTGACGACGTATCTGCTGAATGGCTTGCGGAGGCCCTGGACAGCAATGATAGGTTGTTTGTCGACGAGTTGGAACAGGAACACCCTGAGGATAACTACCCTCCCCTGTCCTCTGCTACCCACCCCGTCCTCTACACCCCTGAAGGTGATATAGCTGATTGGGGGTCGATCGACCTTTCGGGATGTGAGGTGGTTATGGATGGTCCGGCTCGTCGCCGCATGATTCGGGGGCTCTTTAGGGCTGCGTACTCTTGGGTGTTCCTGGGCCCTGGGGATTCGGTTATCGCGCATGCGAACGGAACGGTGTATGATGTTTTGTTCCCCGGACCTCTCAAGCTGCTGAACACCGTGGTACGGCGCTCCTCCCGCTGTGCCAGCCGAGAGGTGGAGATCGGCACTCCGACTGCATGAATGTCGCGCGGTTGTGGCAGGCCTCCAAGAAGTTTCATTGTTTCCGCTCGCATTTTTATGCGGGCCTTCGTCGCGGAGCGTGCTGCACGAAGTGGAGTCTATCCCGACTGCTCATTATACCCCAGCCCACCGCAGTCTCGCTGTCCTCGGCGCCCTATCCGATCCCGAGAGACGTCTCGGCGCAGGTAACTGGAATGCGGACGTCTGGGCCAAGCAGGCTCTCCTCCTGCATCCCAACCCAGTGTACAGGAACTTGAAGGAGGTGAGCAGGAAGTGTGATTTGTTGATTTTTGCGGCGGAAGTCGCTGGGACCGTCTTGGCCGCTTTTCCCCCCGAGAAGTGTGATCGCGCCCCGTCGGGTCCGAAAGTTACGTTTTTAAAATCAGGTGGTTGGCGCGTTGGGCAGGAGTTAGACCTTGGGCGTGCGCGTTGCTTGCATTGCTGCCAGCTCTCTTCGGATGTCTCGGCGCGACCCCTGTCAGGATGTAAGGGCCCGAGTAAGTCCTGGATGGGGTGTTTGGGACCGCTCCCTGGGACACTCTCTGGCCCACTGTATCGTTGATAAGGGAGAGCAGCTGCTGCCTCTCTTTTTCTGCACCACGTGTGGAGCGTACTCCTCCACGGGGTGCCATATGCTCGGCAAGGAGTGCCCACAGCGACATCTGTCGTTTCCACGATTTTGCGCAGAATGTATTCTGGCTCGTATCCTCACTACCGTGATCCCAGCTTCACGGCGAGCGAGAGTTCGAGGCGAGGGGTAAGTTTTTGTTTTTCTTTCTGTTCTGCTGCTCAGCAGCCCCCGCCCCGTGACGTTAGCCTGCCCGCACCAGCCTCTGGCTTGATACCGACTCCAGGAATTCTGGCGCTCCAGGCGCGCATTTTGGCCCGAGAGACAGCGGCGGCAGCAAGGCCTGCACCCTAGTCTCAGGCGAGCCATCCAGTCCGGCCCAGTTGCAGTTAAAATCGTTCAGGCTTGCGGGATCGCTGATGGAGAATCCTCCTTCTCCTCCTCCTGCGCCTCCTCCTCCTCCTTTTCCTCCTCCTCCTCCTCCTCCTACTCCTCCTCCTCCCCCTCCTCCTCCTCCTCCTCCTCCTCCTCCTCCTCCTCCTCCTTTCCCTCCTCCTCCTCCACCTCCTCCTTTTCCTTTCCCTCCTCCTCCTCCTCCTCCTCCTCCTCCGCGGCGCAGCGCCCGAGGTCCGGCGGCGGGGGCGCCTCGGCCAGCAGCGCACGGGCCGCCGCCGTGGGCGGCGGGGAGGCGCCCGCGCCCACGACTCCGGGATGGGCGGGTGCGGCCGTCGCCCCCTTTTCTGCGGCTGCCCCCTCGAGAGGAGGAGAGAGGAGGAGGAGGAGGAGGAGGAGGAGGAGGAGGAGGGGAGGAGGAGGAGGAGGAGGAGGAGGAGGAGGAGGAGGAGGAGGAGGAGGAGGAGGAGGAGGAGGAGGAGGAGGAGGAGGAGGAGGAGGAGGAGGAGGAGGAGGAGGAGGGGAGGAGGAGGAGGAGGAGGAGGAGGAGGAGGAGGAGGAGGAGGAGGAGGAGGAGGAGGAGGAGGAGGAGGAGGAGGAGTTGGGGTCACCGCCCCAACTGTACAGGACAGGCGACGTCTCTGCCGCCGCCCTTGCCCTCTCTGTCCCAGTCTTTGCCTCGAGCAGTGGCGAAACGTCCTGGCCTGCGTATTGTTTTTGAGGGCGGAGGACGGTATAGCACAGTTGTTTCCGTCGCTGGGGGCGCTGCCCCAAGGCGGCTGGAGCGTTTACACCTTGACGTGCCACCGTAACGGCATACATTTTCCAGCCGCCTTGGGACAGGCGCCCCCGACATCAAAAAGGTTTATGTTATACCATTATTCGCCCGTTTATCTTAGGCCCTTCAAATAATGGTTTAATCATGTTTTGTGGTCTGAGCGAAATGTTCTTAGAACATTTCTGGTCGAGACTTTTCACATCGGGGTCGTTGTTCAAAGACTTTTTTTTTGTTATCATGATTTTTGTGGGGTTCCAAGAACGTGTCGTGGCAGGCCTGCAGGCATGCCGGGACGGTCGGTCCCTGCTCAATTGTTCCACGGGGCCGATGTTGGCACGATCCCCCGCCAGGTGTTCTTCGTCCTTCCTTCCGCTGGAGCCTCTGCGGCCTTGCCAGCCCAGGCATCGCGTGGCCCCATCTTGTAGTCACCCACGACCCGAGTCCAGAACCTCCTTCCCCCCCTCCGCCCCTCCCCCCCTTCCTTCGGATGCATCTCCTTGTAGGTCAGATTCTGACTTTGCCCTATTCCGAAGTCCGGCTTTCTCCGGCTTCATCCCTCTTAATCCGGTTCGGTCCCGCTGAATTTGGTTTGTTGCCGCGTAGTCCGCGGCCCAATCCGGCGCAGCAGCTCTTCAATGGGGTTCAATCTTCCCTGATCTTTCCGACGAAGACCTACTTTACGTTGCATCTTCGGGAAACCTCGCCTGTCCCCTAAATTGGTGTCTTTTCTTGTGCCCGACGCAGGCTCGTTGCGGATTCGACGCGGATGTGGTGGATTCGACGGGATTCGGCGTGGATTCGACGCGGACTTGACGAGTCCGACGTGGATCCGACACGGATTCGACGCCGATGGGGGCGCAAAAAGACAGAGAGGGGCACCCGAAGATGCAGCATCAATTTCCCAGCAGTTGCCTCCTAACCTTCTTGCCCTCCCCGTCCCCCCCGCTCCCGCCTCCCTTTGGCGTCAACCCAACATACTTATACTATATGTGCGTCGCCCCCCCCCAGGGGCGACGCGCGCACCGAGAAATCTTACAGTATATGCGTCGTGGCGGGCGCTTTCTGGCCACACCGCTGGGGAAACAATGCACTACAAGACGGGTATACTACATGTTCGGGTCGGAGGCGCGCCACCGAGGAGAACATGTATACTCCAGATTTCGTAATAAAAGGGAGGGGGTCTGGACCCTCCCAGACGAAAAGTTTTAGACCCCCCCCCGTGGGAGAACCCTCCAAAACACCGTCCCCAGACCCCCCCAGGCCCTCCAAGATGGCCTGGAAGAGACCCCCCCCGAAATGTGACCCCCTCCCTTTTATTACGAAATCTGGAGTATATGTATGGTATTCGTATGTCTCTGTGTGTCCCACCCCTCGTCCAGGCCGAGCAGGCGCCCAGCCGCCCTTCGCTGCCGCCCTGCCCGGGCCTGGCCGGGCTCGTGGACAGCGGGCAGCCGCTGCCGCGTGCCGAGAGGGCTCAGGCCAGGGGCCCCGTGCCGGCTGCCGTCGCTGTTGGCGCTGTTCCCAGACCCCCTCGAGTCATGAAAACATCACGACGGAAGGTTTCTCGCTATTTTCGGCCTCTGGGGACCCTTACCGGCCCTCAGGACCGTCAAAAAACGACTCGGGATGAAAAACCGGTCCCGGGGAATGTGTCCGGACCTCTGGGGGTCGCGTCATGAAAAAATCATGACGTCGGGGGTCTGGGTTTCTCATCCTTCGCTTCTGCCTGCTATCCTCAGACCGGCGGCGCTGCTTATACTATATGTGCGTCGCCCCCCCAGGGGCGACGCGCGCACCGAGACATCTTATAGTATATAGTATATGTCGTGGCGGGCGCTTTCTGACCACACCGCTCGGGAAACGATATACTGCAAGATGGGTATGCTAGAATCTGTTCGGGTCGGACGCGCGCCTCCAAGGAGGACATATAGTATTAGTATGTCTCTGTGCGTCCCATGGTCTTGTGTTTTGATGACCCCCTCTTGTTTCTCTCGATCAAGCAGTTGCGAAGTGTCCCGGCTCGCCTGTTAGGCCCACCAAAGACTGTTTTAAGAACCTTTTGTGGTCTGCACGAAACGTTCTTAGAAGATTTCTGGCTGGGACTGTCTTGCTTTAACACATCGGGCTTATTCTCCAAGAACATTGCTGTTGCTCTTAGAACATTTTTCCCGGAAAGGGCGCGGGCCCAGGGTTCTCTTTTAGTAGGTTAACCCCCCGGCCCCCCTGCGACTTGGGCCGGCGAAATTATTTTGCGATAAATAACGAGGTCGCATAGGGCCGGCGAATTAGATTTTGAGGATGTCTCGAGCGAAACGCTTGTTTTCAGAATTTGTTGAGGATGTCTCGAGCGAAACGCTTGTTCTGTGTTATACATTGTCCTCTCCTGGGGACCTCAATTCTGAGGATCTCTCAAGTGGATTGCTTGTTTTCACGTGCCCAGGTCTTGAGGATGTCTCGAGCGAGACGCTTGGTTTCACGCCTGCAGGTGGCCCAGACAGATGTCTAGCATGAGGATTTGTCGAGGATGTCTCGAACCAGAGGCTTTTCACGTGCCCAGGACGCCCAGGCGGATGTCAAGCATGAGCATTTGTTGAGGATGTCTCGAGCGAGACGCCTGTTTGCACGTGTCCAGGTTGCCCAGGGACGATGTCTAGCATGAGGATGTGTTGACAACGTCTTGAGCGAAACGCGTGTTTTCACGTGTTCGGGTCGCCCAGGCACGGCACAGCCCTCGGCACGGTACATCAATATCGATACTTTTAGCATTGCAGCCTGGCATGTTGCCTGGCACGTTCCGCGGAGCATCCCGTGGCGAGTCCCCCTGGCACGTCGCGCGGTGCACGTCCATTGGCACGTTCCGTAGCGCATCCCCTTGGCACGTCCCGCGGTGCGTGCCCATGGCACGTCCCCTGGCACGTCGCCTGGCGCGTCCCTTGGGACGTTCCGCGGCGCGTCCTCTTGGCATGTTCCCTCTGTCGACTAGTTCTTGGGCAGCTACCATCGGCTCAGGCAGCTCGAGCTCACGATCCAGATCAGTTCGGTGAGGACTCGGATGCCAGGGAGGACTCCATCCACAACGCTATATAGAGCACAATCGCGGCATGGCACATCGCAGTTCAGCACGGCCCAGCACAGCACAGCCGTCGGCACGGTACATCAAGATCGATACACTCAACTATGCACTTTGGCACGTTCCTTGGCGCGTTCCGTGGCGAGTCCACCTGGCACGTCGCGCGGCGCGTCCCCTGGCACGTCCCTCGGCACGTCCATTGGCACGTTCCGTAGCGCGTCCCCTTGGCACGTCCCGCGGTGCGTCCCCATGGCACGTCCCCTGGCACGTCGCCTGGCGCGTCCCTTGGGACGTTCCGCGGCGCGTCCTCCTGGCATGTTCCCTCTGTCGATTAGTTCTGGGGCAGCTACCATCTGCTCAGGCAGCTCGAGCTTACGATCCAGATCAGTTCGGTGAGGACTCGGATGCCAGGGAGGACTCCATCCACAACGCTATATAGAGCACAATCGCGGCATGGCACATCGCAGTTCAGCACGGCGTAGCACAGCACAGCCCTCGTCACAGTACGTCATCCTCGATACATTCAGCATTGCATGTGCCCGTCGCCCAATCAGGTGTCTTTGAAATGTTGCAATGCCTTACATTTCTATATTCCTTTCCGGGTTCGTGGGTCGATCATGTTGGGTTCTAAGAACATTTCGTGGTAGGCCTATAGGAATGCCGGGACGGTCGGTCCCTGCTCAACTCTAGGCCTCTTCGATGGGGTCCGAGTAGATGGGGTCGGAAGATCACGCCGTATCGCCGATGCATCGGTGATGCGGAGCCCGATTTGCATCGCCTCCTCGAGCGTCTTCTCGCTCAGGCCGGGGTGGCGGAGGAGACCGGCGGCAGTGTCCAGCCCCCTCCACGTTCGCTCGAGGTGCGGGGTCACCTTCCGCTCTCGGGAGCGGAGCTTCTCCAAGCCCTTCGCCAATGTGCACTCGCCCAGGGCAGCAACCAGCTCGGCGCCACAGCCGATCAAGCGCTGCGCACTGGTGCCGAGATGCGGGTGGAGCGCACTCGTAACCGCCAGAGCTTCAGTGTCGTCCTCGACGACAGGCGTCGTCGCCGCAACCGAGGCCCTCTGGAGCCTGCGCGTGGCCAGGGCCGCCCCGTGCCGAACAGCGAGGGCGCCTCGGCCGCCGCGCACCGTCGCGACCGCCACGCAGGCGCCCCGCCGCGGGCGCCACCGATCAAGGGCCGAGCCGCAGCACGGCGCACCTTGAGCCCAAACGTCTACGGAGGAGGAGGAGGAGGGGGAGGAGGAGAGTGAGGAGGAGGAGGAGGAAGAGGAGGAGCAGGAGGAGGAGGAGAGGGCTTCGAATGCGGAGGAGGAGGAGGAGGAGGAGAATGAGGAGGAGGCGAAGGAGGAGGAGAAGGAGGAAGAGGAGGAGGCGGAGGAGGCGGAGAAGGAGGAGGAGGAGGAGGAAGAGGAGGAGGGGGTCGACATATCCCCTGCTAGGGGTCGACGCGCCCCCCGTCAGAGGGGCGCCCCGCGAAGGGGGGCCGGGGCGGAGGGCCTGCGGAGAGGCGCGGGAGCCACGAGGGCCGCCGAGGGCGCCGGGCAGGCCGAGGCCTGCCAGGCGCCCCTGGCCGCGGAGAGCGCGGTGCGGCCTCGCCGCAAGAGTCGCTCCCGGGAGGAGGCGGCGGAGGAGGAGGCGGGGGAGGGAGGGAGGGAGGGAGGAGGAGGAGGGATGGGAGGGAGGAGGCGGCGGAGGAGGAGGCGGGAGAGGAGGCGGCGGAGGAGGAGGGGATGGAGGGAGGAGGCGGCGGAGGAGGAAGAGCAGGAGGCCGAACAAGTGAAGCCTGGCGGATTTGTGCGGCCTCCTGCTCCTCCGCCGTCTCCTCCGCAGCGTGAAGTCGTTTTTTATATGCGAGTGCGCTCCAGGCTACCGCCTCTGGTCTCCAGTTGGTCTAACGTTGGAAAGCAGGAGGCCGAGCCCTGAGAGCTCGGCGTCACAATTGTTTTGAGCCGGGCGTTGTCGCCTTTTTTGTCAGGCCCCGGGGCCCTCGCAGATCGATATGGCTCAGGGCTCCGGGCGTGATTGTTTTACGATGTTGCAATTTTCCCGGAAAGGGCGTAGGCCCAGGGTTCTCTTTTAAAGGTTGACCCCCGGAGATGGGCCGGCGAATCTCTTCTGCGATAAATAACGAGGTCGCGAAGGGCCGGCGAATTCAAAGTTGAGGATGTCTCGAGCGAAACGCTTGTTTTTCAGAATTTGGTTGAGGATGTCTCGAGCGAAACGCTTGTTTTGTGTTAAAGATTATCCTCTCCTGGGGGCTAGAATTCAGAGGATCTCTCAAGTGAAATGCGTGTTTTCACGTGCCCAGATCTTGAGGATGTCTCGAGCGAGACGCTTGGTTTCACGCCTCCAGGTTGCCCAGGCAGAGGTCTAGCGCCAGGATTTGTTGAGGATGTCTCGAGCGAGACGCTTGGTTTCACGCGTCCTCGTCGACCAGGCGGATGTCTAGCATGAGGATGTGTTGAGGAAGTCTCGATCGAGATGCTTGTTTGCACGTGTCGAGGTTGCCCAGGCGGATGCCTAGCATGAGGATGTGTTGAGAATGTCTCGAGAGATACGCTTGTTTTCACGTGTCCAGGTCGCCCAGGCGGACGTTTAACATGAAGATGCGTTGAGGATGTCTCGAGCGAGAGGCTTGCTTTCACGTGTACAGTTCGCCCAGGCGGATGTCTAGAATGAGGAGGTGTTGAACACGTCTCGAGCGAAACGCTTGTTTTCACGTGCCCAGGTCACCCAGGCGGACGTCTCACATGAAGATGTGTTGAGGATGTCTCGACCGAACCACTTGTTCCCAACCATCCTGTGGTGTTGGGTCCTCGTTTTGAAGAGACAGCGCCCCGCGTTCCTTCCTCCTCCCGCTTCTCCCTCCCCCTCCTCCTCCCCCTCCTTGCCCTTGCTCTCGGCACACCTCTCACACGTTTCGTAGCCCATAGGGAGCTCCACCGAAGGCCCCAGTGGGGGTGTTCGCATGCGGGTCCCCCACCCAGGGCAGCTTTTCGTGGCCCCATAGGGAGCTCCACCGAAGGCCCCACTGGGGGTGTTTGCATGCGGGTCCCCCACCCAGGACAGCGTTTCGTGGCCCCATAGGGGGGCTCCACCGAAGGCCCCACTGGGGGGGTTCGCATGCGGGTCCCCCACCCAGGACAGCGTTTCGTGGCCCCATAGGGAGCTCCGCCGATGGCCCCAGTGGGGGTGTTCGCATGCGGTTCCTTCACCCAGGGCAGCGTTTCGTGGCCCCACAGGGAGCTCCACCGAAGGCCCCAGTGGGGGTGTTCGCATGCGGGTCCCCCACCCAGGGCAGCGTTTCGTGGCCCCACAGGGGGCTCCACCGAAGGCCCTAGTGGGGGTGTTCGCATGCGGGTCCCCCACCCTGGACAGCGCTTCGTGGCCCCATAGGGAGCTCCGCCGATGGCCTCAGTGGGGGTGTTCGCATGCGGGTCCCCCCCACCCTGGACAGCGTTTCCTGGCCCCAAAGGGAGCTCCACCGAAGGCCAGTGGGGGTGTTCGCATGCGGTTCCTCCACCCAGGGCAGCGTTTCGTGACTTCATAGGGAGCTCCACCGAAGACCTCAGTGGGGGTGTTCGCATGCGGTTCCTTCACCCAGGGCAGCGTTTCGTAGCCCCATGGGGAACCCCGCCGGATGCCCCAGTGGGGGTGTTCGCATGCGGGTCCCCCACCCAGGGCAGCGCTTCGTGGCCCCATAGGGAGCTCCGCCGATGGCCTCAGTGGGGGTGTTCGCATGCGGTTCCTTCACCCAGGGCAGCGTTTCGTGGCCCCATAGGGGGCTCCATCGAAGACCTCAGTGGGGGTGTTCGCATGCGGGTCCCCCACCCTGGACAGCGCTTCGTGGCCCCATAGGGAGCTCCACCGAAGGTTCCAGGTCTAACGTCCGCATGCGTCCCGTCCACCCAGTACAGCGCTTCGTGGCCCTCCTCCCCCTCTTCCCTCCGTTTCACCCACCCAGTATAGCGTTTCGTGGCCCCATAGGGAGCTCCACCGAAGGATCCAAGTCTACCGTCCGCATGCGTCACCCCCACCCAGTACAGTGTTTCGTGGCCCTCCTCCCCCTCCTCCCTGCGTTTCACCCACCCAGTACACCGTTTCGTGGCCCCATCGGGAGCTCCACCGAAGGTCCCACTGGCACCGCCCGCATGCGCCGGCCACCGCCCAGCACAGCCTTGCTCCTTGCGCTTCACCCACCCAGTACAGCGCTTCGTGGCCCCATAGGGAGCTCCACCGAAGGTCCCACTGGCACCGCCCGCATGCGTCAGCCACCACCCACAGCCCTTGCTCCCTGCGTTTCACCCACCCAGTACACCGCCTCGTGGCCCCATAGGGAGCACCGAAGAAAGTATTCATAATTGCGGTACTCACAACTGCATATGGTTGGGTCTTTCACCAGCCTAATTTTCACGCGTCCAGTTCGCCCAGGCGGATGTCTAGCATGAGAATGTGTTGAGGATGTGCTGGGAAAACGCTTGTTTTCACGTGTCCAGGTCGCTCAGGCGGATGTCTAGCATGAGGATTTTGGCAGGATGTCTCGAGCGAAACGCTTGTCCCCAGCACGTTCCGTAGCGCGTCCCCTTGGCACGTCCCGCGGTGCGACCCCATGGTACGTCCCCTGGCACGTCGCTTGGCGCGTCCCTTGAGACGTTCCGCGGCGCGTCCTCCTGGCATGTCCCCCTGTCAATTGGCGCTGGGGCAGCTACTATGTGTTCAGGCAGCTCGAGCTTAAGATCCAGATCAGTTCGGTCAGGACTCGGATGCAAAGGAGGACTCGATCCACGTGGCTATAGAGCACAATCGCGGCATGGCACATCGCAATTTATCACGGCGCAGCACAGCGCAGCCCTCGGCAGGGGACATCAAGATCGATACATTCAGCATTGCATTTGCCCGTCACCCAATCAGGTGTCTTTGAAAACGCTGCCATGCGTTACATTTCTATATTCCAATCCGGGCTCGTGGGTCGATCATGTTTGCGCTACGTCGGTTTTCCCCAAGATGAGTAGGACGAGGATGAGGAAGAGGACGAGGACGAGGACGTTCTCTTTCCGCATCGTCTTGCACTTCCACATCCGCACGGGCGGATGCCTTACTTTGTTTGCCCTGGCATCTATTCCTTCAGGCTTAGAACTGTTTTTCTCGAGGCAGCAAGCACCGTTCTTCAGATCTGATCAACGTTGCAAAAAACGAGGAGGAGGATGACACATTGAAGGAGGTGAAGAAGCAGCGGGATGGAGAGGAGGTGACACAGGAGGAGGAGGAGGAGGAGGAGGAGGAGGTGACACAGGAGGAGGAGGAGGAGGAGGAGGAGGAGGAGGAGGAGACACAGGAGGGATGCCTTTGAAGTGTTCTAAATGCCTCACGTCCCCGTCGGGGACGGCGGAGAGTTGGCTCCGCTCTGAGTGCCCTGGGCTCCCTGCTAGAATTCACCCCTCCCATCGTCATCTCCAGAGGTTCCGAGGCGTCTTCTGGTGTCGCGACTGTGGGAGTTATGCTGCCACAACCTTCATTAAGCTTTCCAAACCGTGTCTTGAGAAGATCTCAGAGCATGGGGGGAAGATTCTCAAAGCGCTGGAAGCTGGAAGACTCCCGAGGGATATCAAGGCCTGGCCCGAGCCTGAACCCCAGATGGAGCTCCCGCCCCCAGCAGCTTATTTTTGAACTGGGGAGGGGGCCCTGCCGCGGCTCACTGGCTGGGTGGATCGCAGCCCAGTCGGTGAGTGACAAACATTGATGGGCCCCCTCCAACTTTTATCATTAGGGGCTCCGCCATGTGGACTCCGCCCCTCTGGTAGGCAAGAGGCAAGAGGAGGAGACACAGGAAGAGGACGAGGAGGAGGAGGAGGAGGAGGAGGAGGAGACACGGGAGGAGGCACAGGAGGAGAAGACACACGAGGAAGCGCAGGATAGCCCCCGCGCCCTCCAGGCCTGGGCCGCAGCCATGGGGGTCCGGCCGAGCGCCCCGCCAGCCGCGGGAGAGGACCACGGCGGCCGGCCGGCTGGCCCTCCGCGTCGTCGTGGTACTCCAGATTTCGTAATAAAAGGGAGGGGGTCTCCTCCTCCTCCTCCTCCTCCTCCTCCTCCTCCTCTTCCTTTTCCTTCCCCTCCTCCTCCTCCTCGTCCTCCTCCTCCTCCTCCACAGTTACTCAATATGAATACTCCAGATCTCGTATTAAAAGGGAGGGGGTCTGGACCCTCCAAGACAAGCCATTTCAGACCTCCCCCGTGGGAGAACCCTCCAAAGCATCGTCCCCAGACCCCCCCAGGCCCTCCAAGATGGCCTGGAAGAGACCCCCCCCGAAATGAGACCCCCCTCCCTTCGTTACGAAATCTGGAGTAGCCGTCTTCGACGTCTCCGTAAGCATCGTCGTCGCCGTCTTCGACGTCGCCGGTGGCCGTCGTGGACGTCGCCGTAGGTCAGGAGGGATCGTCCCCAGACCCCCCCAGGCCCTCCAAGATGGCCTGGAAGAGACCCCCCCCCCGAAATGAGACCCCCCCCCTTCGTTACGAAATCTGGAGTAGCCGTCTTCGACGTCGCCGTAAGCATCGTCGTCGCCGTCTTCGACGTCGCCGGTGGCCGTCTTCGACGTCGTGGACGTCGCCGTAGGTAAGGAGGGAACAAACACGCACAGAGACAATGAATCGTCGATTCCCTAGAAAATATGGGGAAATATGGGAAGTGGGGGGGAAGACGATAATCCAGAAAATATTTGAGAATATGGGGCATTATGTTATTTGTGTGTATTTACTTGTGTGTCCCAGGGCCCCTTGAGTAGGTCGGGACGATCGAAATGGGTATGGAAAGAAGGGGCACAACGACCGACATCAGTTCTTGTCCATTTTGAACAGGACTCGCTGTCCGCGCCGTCGCGGACACAGTTCACTGAAGACAGAAAGCCGCCTGCCCATCAGTGGCTGCTGTCGGTTTTGGACAACATTTGTTGTTGGGCATTATATCCATTTGTTCCGTAGCCATCTCGGGTGTTCAAAGCAAGCATCGATTTCGCCAGAAGCATCGTCGTCGATGCTCCGCGCCGAGCGAGGGGGGAGATGAAAAGCAGAAGGCCTTCTCAGAAGGCGCGGGACTTCACAGAACCCTCGCGCCTTCTGAATTGTTTTCTGTGTCTCTGGGGAAGGCTTCGGAAACTTCGCAGAAGGCTGGAGGACTTTCGAGCCTTCTGAGAAGGCCCGCCCCTTCTCACTTCCCCCCCGGGTTCGCTGCCGAGATGCGGCTGTTCCTTGTCCTCTTTTCGGTCCTGATGTTGCCAGTGCTTCCCATCGTATATCACCCTCGCTCTTCGACAATATGCAGGCACTGCAGATGTCGCGCAGCACTCCCCCTGTTCGTCTGGGCGCAAATCGATGGCTCTCTTTCTATAGAGAGGTTGCGTCAAGGTGGTTGTCCTTGATCAAATCGCCCATGATTATTCTCTTGCTTCTCCTACTCGCTCTGGGGGAGCTGGAGGAGAGGAGGACGGGATTGGACGGAAAACAAGGACGAGAACGATGAGGATGAGTGATGTGAGGATCAGGAGGAGGATGAGGAGGGGGACAAGACGAGGATGAGGATGATGTGGAGGCCAGGATGGGTAGTATCACGGGGAGGGGGAGGGGAATCATCAGTTGCAGCAGGAGCAGGAGGACGTGCACGGCGAGGAGGGAGCAGGAGCAATAGGGCCGATGATGGAAATGGAGACGTGAAAGAGGAGGAGGATATCGTCGGAGGAGGAGGTGAAGGAGGAACAGAAGCGACGGGAGAGGAGGAGGAGGAGGACGACGAGAGGACGAGGGCGGGGAGCCTCGCGCGAATCCAATCGGGGGGGGGGGTCCTCTGACTGAAGGCAGCAGCGAGCAAGCAGGAGGCGGGGGAGGAGGGGGGGAAGGAGGAGGAGGAGGAGGAGGACGGCTAAAGAAGACACGGGCTCGGCTCGGGTGGATAAGGGGAGCAGACGCAGGGAAGGAGGGGGGCACGTGGCAACTGCCTCTGTGCTCCAAGCTGGCGCAGTTGGTTGCAGCTTGGAAGCCGCGAGCGACCCCGCCTTTGCAGGCTGGCTGCTCGCAAAGCCGTCAGGGTGGGCCGCTGCGCGGCGCACCGCCAGTCGCTCCCACGCGCAGGCACTGCGGGGGCAGCCTGGCGGCCGAGAGCTCCACAGCGTGTTCGGCCCCAGGGATGTCGCCTTGACGGACGCGGAGCGGATGGTGGGGCGAGCGCTCTCCGACAGCGCCCTGGTTTCGCGCCAGGCGCTGCCGCCGACTGCCTTCATGCCGCACCGGGCGGTCCAGGCCGCCGCGCCCGCATTCGCGTTGCTGCAAGTTGCCTGCAGTTCGCACTTTCGGCCGCGGGCAAACCAGCCAGACCTGCGCGGACACAGCCTGCGCATCCTGGGTTGGGCCGTGCAGATGCTGTCACAAGATGTCATTCTCCTTGGCCCACAGGGCGGTACTGAAGGACGTCTGTGGCATCCATCAGAATGGTAGGGGGTCGGGACCGCGAGGGCCTCTGCACCAGCGGCTCGAAGTCGAGTCCTTTCGGGGGTGATGCGATTGGCCGCTTTGAGCCACAGCATGCGGTCCTCAGGGAGCCATTCGGAAGCTTGGGGAGCTTCGAGCTCCTTCCCGTCACAGTCGTATTCATGCCGGCGCAGTTTCCTGACAATTGCGACGGCGCCGCGAAGTGCATCCGGTGGGTTCGGCGGCGCTTAGCAGTATTTCAATCGTGGTTGGTGTTCCTGCGATTTTTTTGTTGGCGCTGCTGACGACGGACTTCACCTGCCTCGTGGACCTCGGCCGATCTTCTCGGAGCGGAGACCTGCTAGTTTGGTGGTCCTGGTCGCGTGGACTTGTTGGTGGCGAGCGGGTCGGCGAGGCAGAGGGCGCCCCTCCTGCCCGCCGCCCTTCGACGCGCAGCTGCAGACCGAGGCGCTCGCGCACGGCAAGGACAGCCGGTCCCGGGGCGCCGAGTTCTACCGCTCCGCGTCCGCGCAGCGCCCCGAGGCCGCGGAGATGCTGAATCGCGGGAGCCTGCAGGTGGGAAGCGATGAGGCGCAGCAGTTGGCCGCCGTGCTCGCCTCGGGCGCGCTGCCGCGGCTGGGAGGCACGACCGCAGCCGCGTGGCTGGTTGGCGCGCTCCGAGCCCTGGGCGCGCTGCCGCGGCTGGCGGATCTCTGGCTTTCCGCCCGCGGCTGGAAGCAGAAAACCACCGCGAACAACTTGCGACGATCGTTTCCCCTCCCAGCCGCGGCAGCAGCCGCGGCCTCACCTGGAATCAAGGGCGTTCAAGACGCCCCTACCCTGGTTTACGAGGCGCTGTGCGCTGAACCTCCTGTGGGCTGACAGGGTGGACCCTGCACATCGCGCGTGTCGCGCGGCGTCCTGGCGGCTCTCTGGCCTTTGGGAGCTCCCAGGATGTTAACCGAACGCGCACCTGTGACCCAGGGTACACCCTGGGCGATGCTGAAGAAAACTTACGTTTTCGGCCAGAGTCTTGAGTATTCTTAACGTTTCAATGTAAATCCCAAGATTTTGATAGAAGTTCTGGGTTTCCTCTCAAATTCTGAGACTATGATTTCCTGAACCCATGACTTCTGAAGCATCTCGCAGGGGGTAGGGCCGTTTTTTTGCATCCCTCCACGGGAGAGGAAAACCACCCAGCGGGAATCGCGACAGTTTCCCCCTCCGAGCCGCGAGCCGCAGCCGCGGCGGCATCGGCGGCGAGGGCGCCGCTCGGCGGGCGGGCGCCCCCACCCAGGAGGGGGGGGGGGGGGCAGGCCGCCGGCCTCCCGATGCGTCCGCGCGAGGGGGAGGAGGAGAAGGAGGAGAAGGAGGAGGAGGAGGAGGAGGAGGAGGAGGAGGAGGAGGAGGAGGGTTGTGGAGGACGATCAGTGGAGAGGAAGCATGTTACCAGATCATTCCCAGATGTCTAGAACATGTGCTAAACACATGTTTGATTCGATGACTGACACATGTGCTAAAGAACATGTGCTAAGCACATGTCTAGAACATGTGCTAAACACATGTCTAGAACATGATATGACTGTTAGGGTGTCGATGGTGGTGGCATCCACAAAGAAAAGACATTGTGGTGGCATCCATGCCAGAACATGTGCTAAACACATGTGAAAAACATGTTCAGGACATGTCCCTACATGTTAAACACATGTTTGCTTCGATGATGTGACTGTTAGGGTGTCCATTGTGGTGGCATGCACAATGAGAGAGAGGGCGAGAAGTCCGCCCCCCCATGCTCCTCCGCGCCTCTCCCCGCCCTGGTCCCTTTCTCTCGATTCACCAGGCGCGTTCTGCTGTACCTCGCAAAGTGCCCCACGCGCAAACGTCCGAAGATAAACACATGCCTGCATCGATGCTATGTATCGTGCCCCCCCCCCCATGGCGGAAGTATTGGAACGCGCTTGTCTTTCGATGGTGAGTTTTTGTTTCCTCCCCAGGGTCAGGGGCGGCCTGACCGACCCCTAGCAAACCATCCCCTTCCGTGACGTCCCCCTGGCCTCGCCCTGAGACGTACGTATGCGGCCGGAGGGGAGCTCGAAAGGCGAGGATGACGTCACGGAAGGGTATGGTTTGCTAGGGGTCGGTCAGGCCGCCCCCGACAGGGTCACGCTCGCTATCCGTGCCAACCCCACCCCTTCCCCCTGGGTATCGCTAGCGATCGCACTGGGGGGCGGGGCCTGGACCCCCCCCCATTTCCTTGGCATCTTTCGTATGCTCGGCATGGCGCAGTCCTGCAATCCGCGTTGTCTGTGTCCGTTGTTTTGTAGGCTTCCTTGGCTTTTCAACTTATCAGATATTCCCGGAAAGGGCATAGGTCCAGGGTTCTTTTTTAGTAGGTTTACCCCCGGTTTTGACGGCTGTAGGGCCGGCGAATTCCTTTTGCGATAAATAACGAGGTCGCGTAGGGCCAGCGAACTAAATGTTGAGGATGTCTCGAGCGAAACGCTTGTTTTTCAGAATGTGCTGAGGATG